ATTTAAAAAAAAAATCCCAATGGAGTTGCTTTTTAAATTAGCACTCAGTAGAGGGCCCACATAGTGCATGGAAATTTTTTTCCCATATGAAGTTTTTCACTTCTTACTCTGGAAATTTTCAAACTGATAATAAATGCAGAGAGACTGATTTAATGAATCCCCATGGCCATGCATCCAACCAGCTTCAAAAATGATCAACTCATGGCCAATCTTGACGCATCTATCTCCCCTTCTCCTACCGGATTATTTTAAAGTAAATTTCAGATATTGCATCATTTCATCTATAAATATTTCGGTATGTATCTTTAAAGACAGGGCTTTTTTTTTTTTTTAAAGTTAACATACCCACAATACCTCCATCACACCTAAACAAATAAATAAATCTTTTTTTTTCCTTTTTTTTTTCAGAGAGAGCTTGCCAGTTGGGGAAGGTGGGGAGGGACAGAGGGAGAGGGAAAGAGAGAATCTCAAGCAGACTCCATGCACGGAGCCCGACGTGGGGCTCTATCTCACGACCCTGATGTCATAACCTGAGCTGAAATCAAGAGTGAGCCACTCAGGTGCCCCATAAATAAATCATTAATAAAACATTCAGTCCATGTACAAATTCCTTGGTTGGCTCTTAAGTGCTTTTTTATAGTTAGTTTGTGTGAATGCATTTGGTTGGCGTGTCTCTGAGGTGGTTTTTAACCTGTAAGTTTTATAGAATCGTACGTTCCCAAGGTTGGAGGGCTTCCGTTAGTTCCGTTGGACTAACCACACTGCCCAAGTGAGCATGTCTAGGTTCTCTCTCTCATCAGGCCGAGCAACTGACTGCCCTTTTCTGCACAACCAGCCACCTCAAGTGAGTGTCACTCATCTGCCACCTACTTGACACACTTCTCTGAGAGGCCCTTCTTTATTCTGGGGAGAAAAAGGCCCATAATTTGTCATCCTGTAATTGTCACATGCTGCTCATACATATTTTCCCCACCTGGAGTTCCACAAAGTAAGCTGAATCTGACCTGATGAGCTAAAATGAATAGATACACAAGTAAAGTTGAGGGTTTCATTGTGTAATTAATGAAGTGTAACTACCAAATTGTAGTCTAGAAACACACGTTGTGAGCCAAATACACACCAGCCACTGTGCTAGGTGCTGGGGGTTTGAAATGAATAAAAAGGACCTATCACCTCTGCGAACCTTGAATAATTCTTGAACTTTCTGAACATTTTACGGTAAAAAACCAAAAACAGAGCCTTGTGATTCTCTTCCTTCTCTTGCAGCACGCAGGAGGAACCCAAGGAAATGGACAAAGGAAGTGAATCAAGGAGGTAGTACTATCCCACGATATTTCACACTTGACACCCCATTTTCAAGCACCCGCACACTTACTTTCTATCTGGGAATGGAGATCATTGACTATCACTTGTAGCTGCCCGAGAGTCATGTCCCGCAGGTCGGTGGGCTTTAAACTTCTTTTCATCAGGCATTCGCTTATGTGAGGCATGTGTGGTAGCTGAAGATGCAGAGGGAAGAAATGGAGGTGTGACCCGAGCAGCCAGGGCACTGAGCACAAGACCCACTTTTCTCCTGACAGACCCACTCTCACCCACTTCCGTTCAGGTTCTGCGCTCCACAGCCTTCCCGGTCTGAGCTTCCCAGCGCGAGCTCCCCGCCCCCCAGCCCCATACACCCCGTTGTCCAAAGCTCTACTGGCATCAAAATGCTACACTACTCAGATCAAAAGCTATCTGACTGGTCATGAACACAGGCTGTGACAACCGTGAGTCAGTGATCTTGTCCACAAATGAATGACTAGGGAGCGCCACGAATACCAATGACATGGATAAAGTTAGTAATATCCATCCGCTCTTTATGAGTTTGCACCATGTTACAAGCACTGTGCTGTGTGCTTTGGATGCTTTGTTCACTGAATTCTCACAATCGTGCTCTCACAAAGGTGTTATTATTCCCATTTGATAGAGGACAAAACCGAGACTTCAGTAACTTGCCCAGAGCCCCGCAGCAAGTTAATGGCAGTGCTGGACTTCAAAGCCCAGGCCCTTATCCACCATGCTGTACTGTCTTCCCTGGAAGGTGGGAATGACAGCCAAGGCGATAGTGAATTTACCACAACCAGTAGGTTCTAAACTGATACTGCTTTAATGACACTAAAATATTCCCCTGACAGCTAATACCACCTCTAAGAAATACAGTAGATATGAATCAAAAACAGTTTACTTTCGTGTAATCTCTTATGTATCTTTCAGTGATACAATAGGAAGGAAAAGGAAACAAACTTAAATATTTCTCAATGACAGTACTTTTTACAAACTGCCTTGTAGAAACCCAGGTTTGCATAACTCTGGGAAAGAACTGGGACCACGTCAACCATTTGCAGCCACCAAACCATTCTCTGGCGTTTCAGTGTCTACTGCTTACGAGATCAGCGACGGGAGACTTTTTCCTGTTCTGTTTTTCCACTTCTACTTGCATTTTGGCCATTGGTTTGGCCATGGCGAGGGCCATTTTGGCTTCGGCTTGCAATTTCTTTTGCCTTGTGAGGAAATCCATGTCATCCAGGGATTCGGATTCCTCTTCAGTAGTGTCTCTATCAGAATAGGAAGAACTCTGTTTGCTCTGTGAAGGAAAAAAGAGCAGCCCTGAGCTTTCTGTGTCAGGCGCCATCTTTGGAGATGGGCTACAGCAGTCCCTGGGACCTCCCAGAGTGGCTGAGAGAGAGTCCCCTCCAACAACGCGACTCACCACCTGATTTGGTCCGTACAAATCTCAAATAACATTAAAGCAGATGGTTTCTTTCCTCAGTGCCAAGAACAGACTCTGATTTTAGCAGAGTCACACAATAATAGGAAGAATCTACTTATGACAATAAACTCGAGAGGTCCCTTTGATTCTTGGTCTCAAAACTCTCCTGAAGGGATCAGACACAGCAAAATATTTAACCCAGAGCTAAGGCAGTGTGTTCTCTGGAGTGGACAGGATCTCAGGCATCCAATGGAGTTCTGACCTTGCCCTGCACTCATGGACCAACACAGTTTCCTGCTGGTTGGTCTTTGGTAAGGAAGGTGATAAAGACTTCACAGAGAGTAAAGGATTCCAGCAATTAGCGGCCTGGATCATTAAGTCATCCTTTGTAGTATGTGTGCAAGGAATGAGTAAGGAATGTTTTATGCACATTATCTTGCTGGTTTCTCTGAGCAACGTCTCTGCATGCTAGCGCTCCCATCCTCACCCGGATCCCCGCCGCTGCCTTTTAAAATGTGTCCCACTGCCGGTCTGCACTTAATATTTCTAAGCCCAATGGAGAAGGACTGGCATCTAGCATAATTTTCTGGGGCATATGTGATTTCTCTTATGGCTTAATGTGAAAGTAGTTGCTAACTTTAACAGAGCTTATGTCTCCTTGTTGTATCACAGCTTTGATTCTTCATTGCCAAATTTTAGGAGCATGCTATGTCAAGAAATGGCACGAGACGTTCCTTTTTTAATCTCTGCCATGTTTTTTTCCTGACTAACAGCAACAAAAAAGAAGCTAGGTGACCAGGAAAGCACACACACAGAGCTTTGGTGGCTTTGGACTCACCATGGGAGACAAGGGGGTGTCCAAGCTGGTTTCAGTCTTACTGTCATCAGCATCGCTGTCCTTATCACTGCCGCTGTCATTGACGAAGCATATCTGCAGGTTCATCCCACTCTGCAGCCTGCGTGGAAGCAGACAGGACACCAGTCCTGCTCAGCTATTTGTTATCTGGGGGTACGCGTTACAACTGTCTGGCTTTGGTAACAGAAAGCAGGTTTAGGTGTTCTTCGCGTGGAGAAGTGGGTGACCAGTATCACTCCCAACTTACACATGAGAACTTTTACTAAAGGACAATGATGATAACTTAATGAGTTCGTAAGTTGATAAACGATAACTTTTGCTAATATTATTTTTTTTCACACCAATTTCATGTTATGTGAAAGATAATTTAAGGCCACATATAATAGCCCCCGGCACAATACCAAACACATGGTGGGTGCATAATAAAAACGTGTGGAGTCACTGAGTTTACATTCCTGTTGATAAAGATGAATGGGCTCCTCAGCCTGCTGTCATCTAGTGTCCTGTCCCATGGGGACAATTCAAAGAAGTGCACCAGAGCCAGCCTCCCAGGGCCACTGCTCTCTGAAGAAAGATTCCTTTTTTCCCTCCCCCAAATAGACAGAATAGGGCTGTCTGAAGGGAAACTATGCTTTGAGTAAGCTGCCAAAAGCCATCGAAGGGAGCTCATTTATGTCATTAAAAAAATACACCACAGGTTCACCGTAGAGAAACTTAAGGAAACCCTGAACCCAGTCAGAAGGGCCCAACCTTGCAACCCAGCAGAGTGCCTGGAGCACAAGAGCCTCCGAGGTGGAGACTTCTCCGGAGCTCATTATGTCTGTGGTGAATCCTGTCGCTCCACGAGCGAGGCTGCTGCAGAGGTGACCACAGACGGTCACCCAGCGGTGTGTCTGTTCCACATGAGGGCGGACCACAGATACAACTTCTGTCCTAACCTTTTTTTGAAATTGAACACATTTCAATACTGTTTGGCTATGAAGAGTTTTCAAAGAAGTAATTTTCCAAGCATCCCTGGTAGTCCCACTCTGTGTGTCAGGGTAGAAGAAAAGGCAAAGGAAGCTCCTCAGCAGCGAGGGATCATAAGGAGACTTGTCTAAGCCAGGTTTAGGAAGCCAACAGTGAACTGCTCTGGCATTATTACTGTCACAGGGAGGAATGCAAAGAGCAACTCGTCTGATAGCTGACATTAGTATCTTTTTTTATTCCAATGGGCAGGGATGCTTTGTATAAACTGTTCAGATGACTCACGTAAAGTGATTCTTTGACAACGATAGGGAACCTGGGAAAAGAAAATCTACCGATTTAATACAGGCACCGTCACTGTTACGTGTATGTACTGCCACCTATCGGTAACTTCTGGAATTACTGAAAATCCAGTAAGGAAAGGCAACCTTCCCCTGAGCAGACAAGGAGCCAGGCCCTCGCCAGGCCTGGAAGGCACACGTTCTGCTGTGGTCAGCTCAGGATGCTTGGAGTCCGTCGGACTTAGGTTCTGAATCCTCACTTCTTTCTCTGGGCCCATTACTTAACCTCTATGAACCTCAGTTTCCTTATCAGTAAAATGGGGTGAATAATTCCATGTTTTGTTGGAAGGATGAAATTAGTTCAGCGCTAGGCCAAGGGTAAGTATTCTGCACATATTCATAGTCCTCATTTTTCTACTTTCTGAAAGCCCAAAGGAATACAGAATTTTAAAGGTGATGCGGCTTTGTAAAGGGACCTCTAAAGTCACTTACTTGAAGACCTCGCCTGGCCTTGAGTAGCTCTGACAGTGTTCTCAAGCTGTCTTAAACTATTCGGCAGTTTGGGCTTCTACTGAGCTGGAATTTATTGCCTTTTAATTTTCTTCCATTGGAGTTTTTTTTTTCCCCTGGAGAAATCTAATATGTTCAGGTTACCCTATGATCCCACATAATTAAGTTTTAAAATTAATTATCTGTAGTTTGTCAACCACCCCCTCCAATCAACCCATTTTTAATTTAAAACTCAAGATATATGGATTAGGAAATAGTGGGAAGTAAAACTGCAAATTAAACAAAACACATTAAAAGCATATTTTAAAATTAAAAAGGCATTTTAAATTAAACTTAATTTGAATCTAGGAATATGTAACATTTTCTATTTACTGAACTGCTAAAGTCTTGAGAAGAAGTGTCTGGCCACTGGGTGCACAGATTATAAAAAATACAATAACCCATGATACCATTACAAAATAAGGTTTAAAACATCCGGGGATATATATTTTCATTCTGAAGAAAGTCTGATCATAAATTCTGTCATTCTGCCCCCAACTGACCTTTGTGCTAAGGATCAATGCAGACCTCAATCAACCAAACCATACAGCATTTCTAACTCAGGAAAGGCAAAGGAAAAAAAAAAAGGGGAAAGATTTAGTAGTCAGAATGAAATGGAAAAACACCTCAGGTAGAAATTCAGAAAATCGCCTTAGTACCACATTATCACCGTGGGAAACTGAACAGAGCTTCTTACGGGGTGAGACTTACAATTCCTTACAGCAGTAATCACCAAGAATGTTACTCTCAGGAAAAGGAAATTATATGACATAACAGCTAATGGTTCAGAGGGGATTTTAGTAAAGACATCTTAAAATGGACTCAGGTTTCAAGAAGGATTTGTTTGCCTTTAGCCTTTAAGCAGGTTTTAAGATGAAGACGGCTTTGGGGAAACTCAATCGCAGTCCGGCTGGGGGGTGAGTGGGGCCACCTGGTGCTCTCGAAGGCCTCTGTGTCACAGGGTCAAGCAATGATAACCCCTGTTCTGCCTCCCCCCCTCCCCACCCTGGGGGGAAGCACGGCTGCTCTGAGGCTCATTCCTGCAACCTGGAGTTCCCGGCCTCGGTCCCGCACACTGCGGTGCGCCCGGCCTCGGTCCCGCACACTGCGGTGCGCCCGGCCTCACTTAGACCCAGGCTACACAGTCTTGCCAGATCCATGCTGCCAGGGGTCTAATTTGCCTGGATCTCTCAAGCAACATCAGAGGTGAAAACGAAACATGATCCTCATCTTTTAATTAGCGATATGATTTAAGGTATCCAAGTCAAGGTTGCTTGATGTTTCGAGCAGCATTTAGCAGCGTGTTGCACGCAAAAGGCTGCCTGCCATCTGCCTTGCCTGTCGATATTAGAGCTGGAAGGTCTGTGTCCTGGTCATCCCGGAAACCTCTTCCCCTTATGAACCGCTAGGCAGTGAAAAAGCACACTGCAGCCCGGAGTTACTGACAGGGAGCCCCGGGACCTGAACAGAGGGTGTTCTGGCTGGACAACGCTCAGAAATATGAAGACACAAAGACTGTGTCTTCTGGGCATCTCAGCGTGAGTGGAAGGGGCTTTCTTAGTGACAGTGCCTGCTCGCCAGCAGCAGGAAGGCATTTAGTCGGGAGGGCATTCAGCACAAACATCTGCTGGCTTTTAGGGCGAGGAAGACCTTTTTTTGTAAAACGCCTGTGCTGACTTCCAACTACCATTGCTGGGGATATTATTAAAATACGCACAACGCCAAGAGGATGGCAGAGGTGAAAGGTTTTGAACTACCGAGGACGGTATCTCAAAAACCTAGCCAAGTGATAATATAATCTGGTATATAGATAATATTTTTTTCAAAATACAAGGGCAAGACCAGTTTATTCCCGGAGGAGATTGATGATCCTAAAGTCTGCTGTGATTCCTAGTAGGGCGGTAGCCACTGTGAATCTGGCCTTTGTCCTTGGCCGTGGTTTGAGGTGACTGGGACTGGGCTGTTGTGAGGCCGGGTCTGAACCCCAGAGCTACTTGGTGTTTTCTGATTTTAGAAATAGCAGTGTCCCAGCACCAGCTTAGACCACCGGTGTCTACACAGAAACGTTTAAGATTCTGTGGTTTTTACCCCCTACACCATCCCTTAGTTAACTTCACTTGAACTGTTGCACTGAATTTGAGTTTAAAATGATGTTCGCTCATATTCCCTTGTTGGGCTGTAAAACCACCTGTGGGTAACAGGCAAGGTAAGAGCTAGTTACTCAGAGACGTCAAAAAAGTTCCCCAGACCTATAACAGCCTGATTTATAAAAATGGTCCCGATTCTCCCCTCCCTGCACCTGCCCCCTTTATAATGTGACCTTGCAGCTTCTCCCCTCAAGGGCTGGAGTCTATTTCCCTCCCCCCGGGCTGGCTTCTGACATGTCTTGCCAACAGGATGCACACGAAGTACCAGTGTTCCGGTGCCAAGTCTCCCCCTCAGGACAAGTCCAGGCTCGCCTGCTGGCAGATGAGTGACTTCCTAGCACCGAGCTCCATCGGCAGTTGTCCCCACTGAAGCCCCGAATGCCCGAGAGAGCTCGGCCAAGGGCAGTAGAGGCACCTGACCCACTTGCAGCGGACTGCAGACGCGAGTAAGCCCACAGGAGCCCATCTCTGATAGTAGAACTGCTCGGCCAACCTAGAGGCTCCTAAACAGAAATCAATGTTTATTATTGTATGCCGCTGATACGGGTGTTTTTGGATTATACATCATCATTGTGGTGACAGATAACTGGTACAAGGTCACAAAGAAGAGACTTCAGGCTGAACCTCTGGCTTTTGAATCCAGGGCCCTTCCCCCCATACTACACTTAACCTCAGGTCTGGGTTTATTAGCTCTCGCCCGTGTGTCTGCTAATATAATCTTAGGGGGCTTATACCTCCTGCAGTTGCTTATACTTCTAAGGTAATTGTTTGGTTTTCCTCAAGAAGCGGACCGAGAAGGAACTACCCATATGCTTATGGTTTCAAACATGCCTTGCTCATTTTCTATCCACAACCAGAGTGGCTGTGAGAGCCACTGGCCCCGCTCTATCATTTGTTGCTCGATATCCCCAACTAGTTTGTGGCTGGGCCATTAAAATATGTTATTTCCATGTATTTTAATGGATCTTTGATGCATTATTCAAAGACTTTATGCACAATAATCACCCATATTTTTATAATATATCTTTTTTTGTTTCATGAAACCTTCAAAGGAGAAGGAATATAAAATGTGGGTTGTAATTACCTAAGGGTAGCTGTAAACGCATTTCATCTTTCTAAGGATGTGTTGTGAAGAAAGAATGTGAGAACAATTGTGGTTTGGGTGAGCTCCCGATGTCCTGAATGTGTGATGGGTCCCTGCAGAGTGTGCTGAGGTGGGTTAAAATGAGGTGTTGCTACTCCTTTGATAAAAGACTTTTCCCATCCCCAAACCCTGACCCCCCCCTCCTCTTCTGCTACCCAATATTTGTTATTGTGGAAATACTATTCTAAAATGCTATTTCTTATTTTGTGGGACTGTGTTCATTTCTTTTGCTAAGCGGTGTGTAATGCATGGGATGATCATTTATTGGACTTTTAGAAAAGACTGGTATTT